TGGTCTTTTTGACGTTTTAACATGCCATATTTTTGAAGAGAAAGATTCTGTGGCCTTCTCCACACAATAAATAATTCATGAAACATTAGAAGCAGAGCAAATCACAAAATCAGAAAAAAAACTCTGAAAGTTTAGCATTTCTCTATAGTAATGACATAAAACATATACAGTCTTCAAACACCATGTGAAGATGCTCTTTAATGAGGATGCCCATTATTTTCTAGGCAATGCACTGAATTAATTGCCTTGTAGAAATTTTGTTGTTTTTAGGAAAAGGAAAGACTTCTGTCTTTTTTTTTTTAAAGAGAGAGGGAAGGAGAGAGAGAGAGAGAGAGAGCGAGAGAGAAAACAAAAATACATTGCGGCACGAGAGATACATCCATCGGTTACCTCTCGTACGGGCCCCTGTTGGGGATTGAATCCACAAACTAGGTATGTGCCCTGACCAGGGATCGAACCCATGATCTTCAGTGCACAGGGCAATGACCCAATGAACTGAGCCACACCTGTCAGAGCTACTTCTGCCTTATATATGTTTTATAAATCAAGGTGCAATAAAAAAATATTTTGTGTGGGCAGGATTTCAGTAGTGGGGTAGACTTCTAAAGGTACCCTTGGGATGTGGAGAAAGAAGAGCAAGACCACAGCTCTGTAGAGAGAGGTGACTCTATCTGGCCAGCATAAGAGGAATTCTCAATTGCTTCTAGAAATTTCCAAATCAGCAAACATGGGTGGATCAGTAGCATCTAAGGTAGCTTGGGCAATTTTTCGTATTAGAGGACAGTCTCCTTCTAACTCTAGGATACCTACACCATTTACTCAAATAACTGTTCCTTCAGTTATTGACAAAGAAATCTGGGTAAATTCAATGTGACTTTATTATTTACCAATTGTTTGTATATCTTTTAACACTTAATAAAAACTAATATAGTAAGTTGCTATAACATAGCACAAATTTCATCTTGAATTTATATCTCTAAACATTTTTTGTCCATAATTGAAATTGAAAAGGTTTAAATCAAAAGCTGGAGAAATTTATTAAACATTTAAAAATTTACAATAGTGTTGCTATTCTGGTTTTAAAATTTTTCTTGAAGAGGTAATTTTTCCCTTATGTATTATAATGACCAAGTCAGAATCATTCTTTAGAGTCTCAAATCTTTACTATAAATTGAACTCATAATTAGACTTGCAAAGTAGTAGAAACAATAGAATAAATGAAATTTCTATTATGGAGGTGCTAAGTAGAAAGTTGGACAGTTGATGAGAAAAAAATCTATACTGATAATGTAAGTTGGATTGAGCAAGTGAGAGGAAAAATGTAGGTGCTAACACCTGATTTGTATTAATAAAAACTCAGTATATATAAAAAAGATAAAACATCCTACCTAATATCCCAAAGGCACAAGAGGCCGGTGGAGTGGAATTAGGCATTCCTCATGCCTACATACGGTGAAGCTCTTTCAATAAAAAAAGCTGTCCTAATTCTGAAATAATGGAAGACAAATTGCCTCGTTTATTTCTTCTGATTCATCAGTTTCTATATATTGCAGAATGTTTTCTTCTCTTTCTCAAGCATGTGTATTACAGAAGGCTGCATCTTGGAAAATGAAAGTTGTTCCTTAATACCCTTTCCTTAGATTAGCAGGACATTAGACTGCTGCCTCCACATATTTTGGGAGATATGCCTGCTAAATGAAAATGTTTTCTCTGAGACATCCTGATATTGGGAAAAGCTCAAACTCGGTCAATGTGGATGCTTGTGCTAACACATTACAACATTTCTGGATGCTTTTCCTCAATATTTCCCAGTCAGTGAACATCCCCTTCAAAAATTTCTGCTGTGTCCTTGAAAGTCTCTTAAATTATTGAACAAAAATGAAAATGCCATGATTGCTATCATCAAACACTTTGGAACACTTCCTTCCTCTAATTACAGGCTACCTAACAGTTGGCATTGCAACCCCTTTCCCCAGGGGCTGTCTGTACCTGGGGCTAGGGGGCAGTGGCTATCCTCTTCACCTGTTAGCACTTCTATTCTAGGGCACCAGAACCCCATTCAGCAATGTGCCCTCCTGTGACACACCCTCTCCCCATTCTTTTGCTATCATACTGTGACCCTGAGGACTGTAACACTTGGCTCACAGACTTCCCGACCACTCTGACCCTTGCCATTGCCACTAGGGGCCTCAACAGTGATGTGGGTGATCAGGCAACCAGCTCCCTGATGTTCTTAATAGAATTTTCAAACAACTGAAGTCCTACTTGCAACAAATGATGCTTCCTCCATCCTCTTATCACCCAAATTGCTTTCCTGGGAAATCCTGACTTGCCCAAGCATGACCTCCCCTCCCACCTTTCACTCTATTCTGTGTCATCATTTTGATCACCAGCCCAACAATTGTGGTGATCTCCTTCTGCAGCTAGATCTTCCATGGTCCTCCATTTAGACTAGCACCATATTCATTCACTTCCTTCACTCAATAAATGACAACTCAGCAGCTGCCATGTGTCATGTGCTATTCTGGCCCGAGAGATACAATGGTACACACTCTTCCATATCTCTCGCCGCATCCGTGTGTGATGTAGTCACACCTTCCTGATGTGTCTGGAGTTAGAAAACTCTCAATAGAAGTTATGTATCCATACTGCTATTAATGTGATTATCTCCATTACTAGGTGAGGGTATTGGGTGGTCTTGTCTTCATCTTAGAAACTCCAGAATCCACCCCATTGCCTCTGACACAGTAGGCGCTCAGTAAGTGATGGCCTGATGATAGAAACATGGTTGTGATTATTATCTTGTTCAGAAAAGAAATCTAGAGAAGTGTATAGAGCTCTCCTAAAACATTACTGGGGGCAAAAATGACAAAATTAAAGCTGTCCTACTTCCACACATCATGAGAAGTCAGGGTTCTTTGGAAAAGACAAGAATACTTGGAAAAAGAGAAGGCAGCAGGAGAAAGAGGAAGACAAAATATGAGGAGGACTGACTGTATAAAATAAGCCATAGGTTGAGTCTGCAGGAGCTGAGCAGGGCAATTGAGGACTGGACACTATCGATGTCACTCATTCATGGGGTCACCAGGAGTAAGAGCTGACTCAATGGCCCATAACACATACAAGTAGAAGTACTGCTCTTTCTATTCCTGGTTTACCTTCTTTCCAACCCAGACAAAGGTTTACAAAACATGGGGATATAAAGAAAGGACAGGTGAGTCCAAGTAATTCTGTAGAAAAGTATAAAATTACTCAAATATAGAATTGTCAATTTTCTTTTTTGCTATGAGATAATTCTGAAATACAATCCAACTAATGTGCAAGTCAGGAAATAATATGACTCTATTACTTCTAACTTTGGAAATTAAAACTCCCTTTTAAGTAATTATAATGCATAATTGATGAAAAGAGAGGATTCCTATTTATTTATTAATTAATTCTGGGGCTAGAATATCCTCAGTCTCCTTTTCAATCAGATCTGGCTCAGATTAGATCTACAACCAGCATCCATGGAAAAATGATAAATTACAACTATTGCACTGAAATAAATACTTAATAAACATCTATACCCTATCATCATAACAATCCCCAGAAATTACCATTTTACAGATTAGAAAATTGGGATTCAAAGCGATGAAGCAATTTACCCAAGAATTAGGATTCATCCTGTGAACGCTAACTCCAAAGTCTGCACACTTCCTGTTACACCCATCCATCGTTTCATACAAAGAATCCCATAGGATCTTAGCAGAAAGATGTTTTTCTCAGATTCCTTCTTTTAAAGACCAGAATGCATAATGAAAACTACAAAGTGAGAAAAATATTGCATCAGATATTTCTAGGACAAGGATTTGAGATCCCTGGACCAGGCAGAGCGGCATAAGCACTCAGATAAAGGACACAGACCAGGAGGAAGGAGACTTTCTGATGTGGGCAGTGGGCACCAAGATTTTGTGGAGAGACACCGATGGACTAGTTTCCCCTCCTGGTGCATCTGTTGTCTTGCTGATTTTGTATTTTTCTAATCAGCCAGCAGATTCACCAAACTTGGAAGTCTGAGGACTATAAATTCTTAAAGCTGTACTGTTGCCCCAATGAGGGAAGGGCCCTGGTATGATGACGGCACTTCTCAGATGCAGAGAACCCCTGCCTCCCACAGAAGGCATCCCCCCGTGTGACCTTGTGAGGGTCTTTGGGAGCCAAGGCAAGCTGAGCTGAGCTAGGGAGCATCTGCCCTTGCCCTGATTCTGTTAGTTTCTGTTTCCTTGGCTAAATAAATTCTGAACTGAAGGCGGTATAGGTATGGGATTTCTTCTGGAAAGCTGCGGGTGTAAAGTGTCATCACAATACTCAGTATGACTGTCCACGCTGCTTCACGGACTCACAGATGTTAAGTTTTATTATTCCTAATGCCTTGTGTTTTTCCTCACTCTCTCATGCCTTATTCCTGGTTTCTTTACGAAATTCTCTATCTACTCTTCACCCTGTCTCCTTGGACAATAAACAAAAAGAAAATTTAAATATCCATTCTTTTCCAATTTTGTTAGGGCAATTCATCTTCTCCATCCCTTCCTTCTTTCCTTCCTTCCTTCCTTCCTTCCTTCCTTCCCTCCTTCCTTCCTCCCTCCCTTTCTCTCTTCTCTTCTCTTTTCCTTCCTTCCTTCCTGCCTTCCTTCTGCCTTCCTTCCTCCCTCTTCCCTCCATTTCCCCCTGCCTTCTAATTCTCTATAATTTTAATCTAAATACCCACTCTTCTTCCATACTGTTAGGGCAATTTATTTTCTCTTTCTTCTTTGAAGACCTTTGCTTGGGAATCTCTGCACAGGCCTGTGTCATGTGAGTAACTCAAGAACAATAGGTCCTTCCTCACTTTGTGCATTTACCCTTCAGCACTGTTCCTGGGGCAAAGAAGACCTTAATGTTTGACGCCAATGACATGCAGTCAGGGCCAGAGCCAGCATAGAATGAGCGGCAAGAGTTGACAAAGATCTTATACTCACATTTCAACTCGAGTTTGATGAAATCTGTGTTCCCCAGATTTTCCAGAAATACTCCCTGTGGGATTAATGTTTTGAAGTAGAAAGAAATGTCAGCACTGGTTTCCCCCTGGAAAGTCGAGAAGTGCAGATAGGATGACGGGTTTGGGAAAGAGGCAGCATTCCAATAATTCCCTGTGGGAAGAAAAGAGAAACATATGGGCCATTGACACCTTGATCATGGCAGTGACGAAGATCTTTCCTTAAATTTTTATAAATTTCCATGGGCAATCATCCTTGTTTCCTCTCATTTTGTGGAACAACATTGCCCCGAAGCCCCACAGCATACTTCTGACTTTCCAAAAGTTATCTGTGTTATATATATATACAATATTTTATGAGAGATTGAGAGTTGGGGTTCCTATCCCGAGTGGCCCTGTAGGGACTGTGGGTAGCAGATCCAATAGAGGTGAAATTGGGAGACCCCTGGGGACACTGTGTGTGGTGGTGGGGGCAGTGTGGAACTCCTGCATGTGTGCTGGCCCCTTTGGTTGATGCAGGAAGCACCTGGGCTGAGCCTAGTGGGAGAGAATGGGAGCAAGGTCTTTGGTGTTCTGCCTTGCTGATCATCCACCTTTGTGTGGAATAACTAATCAGCAGTCACTCAGAAATGGAGCATGGGAGGATTACAAGTGGGGGAGTACCTCTTACTCCCTGGGGAATACAGGTGACACTCTTACCTGTAGGGCAGTGATGGCGAACCTATGACACGTGTGTCAGAGGTGACAAGCGAACTCATTTTTTGGGGTTGATTTTTCTTTGTTAAATGGCATTTAAATATATAAAATAAATATAAAAAATGTAAGTCTTTGTTTTACTATGGTTGCAAATATCAAAAAATTTCTATATGTG